ACAGTTCACAGAGAGTAAAAAGACGAGTGACGTGAAAAATAGCGAAAATGAAAGTGACGGGGGTGACAAAAACCAGTGAGTACGACGGGTCCAACAAAGATGACAATGAGAATAGTAAAAGTAGGGCCACCGAAAAATGATCACAGTTTAGAAAGAAAACAATGAATATTTTCGTTTTTATGTCTATATTTATCATATCGCTCAATTAGCGTTTGTATACGACTTCCCTGAAGGGATTAAAAACTTACGGTCCTTAGTGGATGTGTTGCTTGAGCAAATATTATTTCACCTTCTATCACGCAGCTAAAAACATCGACCACATATTTTCTGTTTCATGGTTATACGTGTCTTTTTAATACAATCGAAAATTTCTACTGGGGACTCTTTTTCCTTTGCAATGGATTAAGAGAAATGTTGGCTTAATTTTACTTCTTCGTGAAGTCCGTAATACTTTTATTGAAGTCTATGAAAAAATTTACCGAAGCGACTTCCATTTGTAAGACAGTAACAGTGGATTTTTGAATGTAAGAATGGAACATAATACAATATATTGTAATGAATTATGTAAATAATTTAAGGACAAAATTACGAAAACCTGTATTTTTTCGAGATCCTTAATCAGTAAATAAAGAATTTTTACGCTTTGCAAATTCGAGTTTAGTATTTGAGTTTGAAAATTTGGTTGCTATTGTGTTTATTCAAAGGAGCGCGGGATTTCTACGAATCACACCCGTGTTCTCATGTCAGTTGCCGGATTTCGGCGTATCGACCAGGTATTTTTACCGCCTGAGACGATACGAAATTTCAAGAACATTTCGAATACGCTCATTTGATTGAGCGATAAGTCCTAATCGTTAGTATTAACCTCAAATATATCAATTGAAATGAAAACAATATTTCAGCCTATATCATTTTCTCAGTTTTCTTAATTTGCATACAAACCACTAAATGCTGTAATAGATTATCTAAAAATACGTCACATTATTGAAAACAGTATTCAACATTTTTGGGACACTCCTTTGATCTAAATTATAAGGGGAAATTGAATTAAGGGATTTGCAAGCAGAAGGTTCTGTGAGACCAGGTGCGTGCACGGATGCATCAGAAAGAGGCGCATGTACTGCTGGGTTAACTGCCGAGTCAGCAACTCAACTATTCTCCCCCCATTTCTTTTCCACCTCTCATACTAAAATTCCTCCGCGCATTTCGCTGATAGTCCTGCCGGTGTCAATCAATGCCTACGTGTCAACTACACAGCAACTCCCGCGTAGAATGAAACATTTACTAGGTTTCGCTCTTTGTTAGACTCTTCTCGTAATAAATCGTCCCCTGATACGACGATGCTGGCCACCTCTACAGACCTCAGCTGTTCTTTGATAATTTCTTTTGGGCCGGGCCACCCCTCCCGTTCCAAACATTCTTAGTTTTCAGTATGTACTTCGGTTTGCCATTGTAAATTAGCCGGTATATATTCCGCGTTTCCCTTTTGTTTTTCTACACTTAAATTTTCTGTATTGTTATTCTCACGTTGTTTCATCTTCGGCTTATAATAACCGACTTGCGCTTTATTTTGCTTGTCTTTCTTTTTCTCCCGATTGTTCTTCTAATGTTAACATTTTCTCCTGTTTGATTTTGCCGCCTGATTCAAAGAATGTGATTCAACTGATTCAAAGAATGTGTGCCGATTCTGCATTTTTACCTCATAAGCCTCGTCACCATTGTTGTCATGATCGCTGGTCATGATGGAAATACATGGGTGAGTTCTCCGGCGAACCGATTTTTGCTCGTTCTGCGCACACCAGTTTGCGTCAAGACTACGTGGCCACAGCAAGGGGAATTCGTTTGAATAGCCCAGCCATACGCTGGGCGCATGTTGCACGGAGAGCGAGTAATATTGGGAACCATTTTGAAACTGGTACTAAATGAGCCCCCGCCCCCCATGTCGCTGGTCTGATCAAATCGACTTACCCGTTCTATTAACACATTCCAGCATATTATTCCACAAGAGATTGCGAATCCTGTTCGGCACGATTAATTATCGAATAATTTCTGAGAAATATTGGAAATCCTCCTTCCATATCCTGAACGCGCTAACTTTTTACGTCACTAATTACGCATGCATTCTGGCCTTCTAGCGTATCTTTTCGCCATAAGGCTTCAATCACTATGCAACTTAAAGGTAAACATTACGTAGCCACAAAACCTAAAAATGAATAATTAAGTGAGACCATTCACAATGCCTTGACGTAACCGTATACGTAAAGCCGTAAACTTAACAGTTCACAAGCACCAAGCTTTACGTTAAGTTTACGACGGAATTCTACCGACGACCAATCAGAGAGCAGCATGATACAAAACAAACGATTGGGTTCAGGTATTTTGTGGTTATGCCATTTCATTACTGTTTTGTACTGAACCTATTTGCGAACTGTTTTGACGCGAGTAGTGAATTCAAAGGAAGAATTTGGGCCATTTTTGTTGTGACTTGACGTGGAGAATAAAATAATTACGTCCGACGAATCACTCGTGAATTTGGCACAAGAGAATCTTTGTTTATAAAGTAAAGGAAATGGAGCACTGATACAACAGCTACTCGCATTTATATATAAAGACAACTCGATAGGAAAATCGAAGAGAACGCTAGAAACCATGGTGGAATGATCTTTTCATCATGCTAGAAACAATCGATCAAGCTCCAATACCCTGAAATCTGATTGGCTCAGGCGACTCTTTACGTTCCAGCTTACGTTCGTCATTGTGAATGCTTATTTTTACGTGTACCTTTTTCTGCTACGATTACGGCATTACGTTACGTTTTAAGTTTGCATTGTGAATGAGGCCTTAAATAGCGATTTTTTCAACTCCGCCCGCTGGCCGCTCGTTGCGCATTGACCGGCATCTTTCCCGGTTCGCCGCCCCGACAAACTTCGGAGAAGCTGTTTTGCGCCGTTGTCTCGGCGCGTTTTTTGAACTGCCGCATACAGCGGTAACAGTCACTTCCCTTGCCGTTGGTGACTGCTGTGGCTGCATTACATACATCCGCCCAACTCTCCGGGTTCCATAATTATCATTTCCATTTGTAAGTTCTGCGACTTCCATCTGCATTAATTGTAATACCACACTTTTACATATCAACGTGGCTTCCTTTTTCCAGCCGAGCTCCGCCAAGTCTACAGGCATTCTCTGTTTACGTTTTTCCTGAAGTCACTCAAGTTCCAGAAACCAATTGTCGTCTTTCTATTTCGTTTGTCATTTACTTGCTATTCACATAAATACATTTTTCGTCTAAATTTTCTATGCACCTGATCACATTCCCTTTTATAAATTAATTACAAATTTATACTGGTTATTCGTTAACATTTTAATGTCTTTTCAAGGACTCTATTTAATTCGACATATTTACTTCAAAATACTCTCGGTACGTAGTGTTCGCTTGTCTTGCCACAAAAATTATGATTTCTTTTGAATTTCTTGGAAAAGTCTAATGTATATTTATTGTCGACCTTAATCCTTGTCATTTACTTACTCAGGTCTAATTGTATTTAAACAGTTCGTCAGCTCCGGCGTAATAAATCACTACGCTCCCGAACCTGTCATTTGTCTTTGCAATTTCACCCTCATTAAAACTTATTAAATATTGTCTTTGACTAATCGTGCACCATTCTCTTAAACATCCTTCACACTATCCAACAACAAAAAATTAATAAAAAACGATAGATCTACTGTTTTGAAAAATCTTTTTTGAAAATGACCCAGGGGCTTCATGTAATGTACTCCCCAAAATTAAAACACGATTTTCAAATTCAAGGAACCACGGCATCAACCATATTGGGGAATATCAATTTTTTAGAAAATCTGCAGGACGGGTTTAGCCGCTAGTGTTGGTCACAGACGGATGGGGCCCAACAGATGTTTCGCCGTCATTCGATTTTTCGGTACCAAGGACCCTCAAAACGGATTCTGTCTACACGACGTGTTAAGAGGACTTTTTTCCAAATTTAGCAACTGGATTTATTCATCAATATTCATCATTTAGCAACTTCTAGCTTTTTCCTTCTGTTCACTTTACTTATAAACCTTTCTTCTGGCAACACGGCTAATGGAAATTGGACCTTCTTAGTACCGTTCGCACGGTTTCGAGATTCACTTTATGGCCAATGCCAATTTCTACCTGTGAAGTAAATTTTGGTGCACTACTTTGTGGATCCTTCTTTATTATTCTCACTATGAGATTTTCTTCTTGATCAGAAAATATTTTCAGGTATCTTCCTCAGGGTTGCAGTTCAATCCCATTCATTGATTTACCATGAGATTATGTCAGTCATTGTGCATTCTTCATTAATTGCATTTTGCAAATTTTTCGGCACGATTTGCCCTTGCTTGATGATAAATAATCAGCTGATGCTGCCTACAAGTGGTGTTTTTTCCTCTGTGCCTCCTATCCCTCATATATTAAGGTTTCAGAAATCTGATTCATTGATTGAAAGGTGACCTTGCAAGAGTTGCAGGTGTGCAGCATGGGTTGAAGTTTTCAACGTTCATTTCACAGATCAAAAGATTTGTTACCACGTTGTCCCAACGGCTGTTCGAATGGTTTTGTTGGAGCTGTCTCTACATCTGCATTTTATTTTTTGTTTAATCTAACAAATACGTATTATTGAAAGTATTTATAATGTTTACAAACATAAGAACATTCTATTCTTTCAAAATTGTGCCATAACTAATGATAGTGTGGTTTTCCGACAAAAATATAAGCAATTTCTGGTTAAATTAATAAGTGTCCGAATAGTTTTGAGAGTCACTGTAACAGTGATAATGCAAATCTATACAGGTAATAGTAAACATGTACAAAATAACGTTAATAGTTTGTTTGCATTCATGAAAATATATGACAATAATGAACATGAATTCTACATGTATGGATACATGTAACTGAGTAATTATAAGTTGAAAATAACTTTACTTTTATAAGCATTATTATTTATATTATTATAAAATGTACGAAAATTGACTTGTCATACATTGTTTGAAAAAATTGTCGACAGAATAAATGATGTTCTTGTTGTTGTCATTAATAACACATAAATTGAGAAAATGTTCAGAGATGAAAGCTTTCACCAAAATTAATATTCATGCATGTTGCATAAAGCCTATCCTTAGTAATTCTATTTAGAAAGATGTGCCCATTACTTTTGGTGTTATTGACATGTTTTGTTTTACTATGGCTTTCTTAATTTCCTAGAACACCACAAAGCATTTTAGTCTTTAATTAAAAATTTTTATTGTGACAATGAAACTATGTAGTTCCCACTTCCCTACTGAGAGATGTCAATACACTTGGCCTAGCTCACACGCTTGGCTCGTTTCCTCTATAAAATGACATCAAAGTAAGGTTGCATGGTGTAAGTGATATTAAATATGTACATTTTCGGGACTTATGTTCCTCCTACCTCTTAAAGATGTTCCACATCACTAATAGCATACAGAACTTCCACATTAGACATGAAATCATTTGCAAAAAGAACTAAATGCTTTTCAACAGAGAAATGGAAGTTCTCTATCAATTTTACATTGCCTCGTGTATGTACTGGATACATTGATATTTTGTCAACAAAATTAAATAATTTTAATTATCCTTTTCTTAGAACAGATATGCATAAATGTGTAATAACTACCAAAAAACTAAATTAGGTAGAGATGGAAGTTCAATTGCTTTCCACACATGTTGAACATTGATATACGAGAGAAAAAGAACATAAAATAAAGACACATTGTTACTTACAAATATTTATTTTCTTATATTTTTTCATGAGAATACTTGAGTGCTTTTCAGTATTTCCAAATTATTATACACAGTAAAATTTGGAAAAGATTTCAGATTACTAACACATTACATTGTTTATCACATTACATTTTCAGTTCCTAAACATTGTCACAGTCAACTTCTAAGGCATGTCTTGAATGAACACACTAGGTCAACTGCATTCCACATAATACACAAGTAAAGTGCCATAGAGCTGACATGACTCTCGTACATATTTCAGACTATTAGGAAATATGATTACTTCTTATCTGATAATGCAGCAACACCAGGCAGCTCTTTTCCTAAAACAAAAATTATATTTATAACAAATTATTCTAAAAGAAATTTCCCTACAAAATTAATTTTGTAAAGTTACAATCAACAATATTACACAGCTTTTCCAACAACTTCAATTCACTATGTATTTTATTTTTATTATTAACAATTATTGTAAGTATACAAAAACAAATTATACTTCATCAAATAGAATACTTTTTCTTCAATAATCCGGCAATAAAATTGATGAATTTTCAGAAGATATTCTCATTAAGCATTGGAATATAATAATAATAATTTTAATAATAAAAATAATAAGTGTTTCTATGAATTACAATATTATTATTATTATTATTATTATTATTATTATTATTATTATTATTATTATTATTATTATTATTATTATTATTTCTGAGCAATTAAGCAACACTAAAGTTTTACATTTCAACACCTTTTAAATAAGATCAATTATTTATGTGCAAGAACATACCTTCAAGTAATTCAAGACTAGCTCCTCCTCCTGTGCTTACATGGCTAACTTTGTGTTCAGTCTTCCACTTTGCACAACATGTAGCTGTATCTCCTCCTCCAATAATAGTTACAGTTCCATCTTCGGTAGCTTTCACCACTGCATCCATAATTGCCTGGGTTCCTTTCGCAAAATTCTCCCACTCAAACACTCCCATGGGTCTGAAAATGTAAGCCAAAGTGAAAGCCACAAACACTGAAAAGCCACTTTATGTGCATATTATCCTGTTTCATGAGTTTTAAATTGTAATTATACTTTTAGTTGCTTATATACTTTTGATATTTTCTTCTTTTCTTATATGAAGAAATTGTTCATACTCATTCACAATTCAACTTATTGTAGATTCAATAAAGCTTAACGTGATGCTACAAACAGAATAATCTATTTGTATAATTAGTGTTTCCATACATTTACGAAGATATTTTGAAGATCGTATCAATCCAAAAACAAAAAGTTCAACAAATACTATGTCAGGGAGAAAAATGCCAAATTTACTCAAATAAGAAGTGAAAAGCCTGAGACTTTACACAACCCATCAAATGTCTCATCCAAAATTTTTTCCTCTTCGAAATCTTTGCTAAAAATGAATTTTAGCATATCTCACCCATTCCAAACAATAACTTTTGCTCTTGCTACTGGCTCCAAAAATTGCTGCACAGTCACGGGCCCAATATCCAATCCCATCTGTCCCTCAGGAATTCCTTCAGCAAGAGAAGCACTCCCAACTGTAGCATTTTCATCAAATTTGTCAGCAGTAACAAAGTCAACTGGGAGATGAATTTTAACACCATTTTTTTCTGCTTTGGCCATTAAATCTCTAACTATCTTGGATCCCTCTTCATCAAACAAAGATGATCCAATCTGTAAATAACATTTTCAAGAATATTCTTACACTTTATGAGAAAGTAAATACTGTAAAATAAAAATAAATTACTCATACATTTAGATTATTCAATATGATAATGAAATTTTCAACCTGAGGTATAATCCAGACAATTCTTTTTGAATTATAGAAAACAGTGTTTAAAATCCTATATATCAAATAAAAATACTGGTATCCTAGATCTTTTTATAAGTCAAGTGAATTATTTGAATTGATAATTTCATTTAAATCAATCTTGGAAATCTGCTAAAAACTTACTGAAATTCCATTTAGAACTTTCAAGAATGTGTATGCCATTCCACCACCAATAATCATTTCGTTCACTTTATCTAACATATTTTCGATGAGTTTGATTTTATCAGCAACTTTTGCACCGCCCAAAATTGCAAGGAAAGGCCTACACAAGAAATAATAACAACAATAATAATAATAATAATAATAATAATAAATAATAATAATAATTGTAATAATAATAGTAATAATAATAATAATTGTAATAATAATAGTAATAATAATAATAATAGTAATAATAAAACAATACAATAACATCCTTTAAGCAAAATCAATGAAATTATTATTGAATTTGAGGTACCAACCTTTCAGGATTATCAAGAGCTTTTTTGAAATAATCAAGTTCTTTTGACATTAAAAATCCGGCAGCACGAACATCAAATCCTTCTCCCATCATTGAACTGTGAGCACGATGTGCAGTGCCAAATGCATCATTCACGTAAACATCAGCAAGTTTACGTAATGATTCTCGAAATTCTTTGACTTTGGTTGGATCAGCTTTTGTCTGAAAGATAAACAATTGGATCTGATATTAGTAACCTAATATTATCTCAAAACTGTGCAAATTTAAACTAAGGGACTGAATAGTTTTCACTTTATTTATTATTTGATGAGGAATCAAAATATATGAAAAGAATCAAAACCTTTCCTGCCTTCCCTTCCTCTTCAATATGAAACCGCAAATTTTCAAGAAGAATCACAGATCCGGGGGCAGGGTCAGCACAAGCCTGTTCAACTTCTGGTCCAACACAGTCATCCAAAAATGTAACCTCACTAAAAAAAGCAAGTATATTCTTTCAATGCGTATTGATATTGATATATTGCATATTCTTGCAATTTCATAAAAGAGAAGTTGTACTGCAGAAATCTGATGAACTTACCAGCGAAGAATGGCTCTTAATTCTTCAGCAACAGGAGCAAGAGAATATTTTGGAGTTTTTGTACCATCTGGACGACCTAAATGTGACATTAGTACAATTGACTTACAGTCTTTTGCTAGAGCATACCTCACAGTGTCCATGGCTGCGACAATACGTTGATTATTTGTGATATTTCCATCTTTCATTGGGACATTGAAGTCCACCCTATGGGCAATTAAAAACAGACACAGATCAATTGTGAAGTACGATTATGTGTGTAACAAAAACACATTTATTTCACAGATCTGGAAACTACAAATTTTAACCAACTCCTCAAAAATTACACATCTGATCATGGACACTTATTTTAAACTTTGCCTTGCATGGGCATTTCAAAATTGAGTAATGGTAACATAAGTTACGTTCATTGAACTTTTCATCTTACCTCACTAACACTCGTTTGTTCTTTAGTTCAATATCTGTTATTTCAATTTTGTCGAAATTAAAAGACATTTTCTCTTTACTTGGGGGAGATCGGCTTACAACACTGAACACACGCACTTCCTCAACACAACCTGTCACGTACTTGGGCGGCAGCGGGCGACAGGCCGACGAGACGACCTTCAGGGGTCGTTCGAACGACAATTGACTGAAGCACGCCGCCCTTTCGGAAGAGCATCCACTTGCCAGGCTCGCCAAGCGTGACCACTGTACAAGGGACAACGCAGATGCATTTCGTTGCAACATCAATAATGCTTCTGTAAGGAATCCACATGTCTTTACTAAGAGTTTTCTCATGTGACATGTTCCCCGATCATTTGTCGGATGATATTTTTAACACACGGTGTAGTTATCGCGGCATATTCGAAAAGTCGCTAACGACCGTGAAAACAATTTAACACTCGGAGAAGTTTCTTCTTCTTCCTGCAACGATTTTGAAATGAGCAAGGAATTATTAAAGCTAATCATTCAGGCACTGTTGTTTCCAGTATTTTTAATATTAGATACAGGGAATGTGATCTCTTTTTGTAGGTTGTTTTCCCTCCAGGAGAATACCAATTTCTTGACTTCGTCTGAAACTAGCGGCAACTTAATGTCATTTATTTCGCGTGTTATTGAAAGTATACTCGTTTAGCCAAATTTGGACGGTATTGAATGCATTATTTATGATGTTTGGGAAATTTATTTTCATTTGATATGGTGTTTGTTGATTCAAAATGTTCATTTGATGAGTCCTTTGTATAAAATTGGCCGTTGCAGAAAAAAGACCCTCTTGCTTTACCTCTTCTGCATACGATATGTACAATGATTTTCCTGACAGCACCAGCCGATAGTCTGAGAACGTCGGTGTTTGTGGAAGGTCTTACATTATTGCAAAAATATAGTGAGATTTTGAAAATAAGATTTTTTGTCGTTATCAACACCACTAGTAGCAGCAATAATAGTTAAGGTCTTGAAATGAATTAGTGTGAAACGTGTCCAAACACCAGTACTTGTTGAAAAGTTCTGATTAAATTATGTAAGTAATGTTTGAATATAGACTTTTTGTGAACCTAGTTTTAATTAATTTACACGAATTGATTTCGTTTTATTATATATAAGTGCTCTGAATTTTAGAATTTACATTTCCATCAAGCGAAGGAGCTGAAACCCCCAGTTTGTTGAGGTACCAACCTTCACTGAACAAGAAGCACCCAAAAACAACCGTTTTACAAGTTCATACTACGTTCTAATGGCGCATTTCACCACGCTTGAAGGATTAACAAAAGGGGGAAGAGGCCCTGTAGGTAGTAAAATAGGTATTGATTTGTAAAATTTTAGGTCCCGGAACGCACCCCAAATTAATTATTAATTTAATTTAAATACTTATATATTTATAATATAATTTAATAATTATTTCCAAGATACCGGAACGCCGTACCGTCGCGTCCCGTCAGAAAACAAACTCGATAACTTATGATAAATGAAACACAATGGTTCTTTGTGTAAATTTCCGCATAATTGCATTTATAAAACAATGCTTTTAATGTTATATAAACAATTTTAAGCAGCAGAGCACTTTATCAGAACCACTTTGTGACCTCATTGGGGTACTTTGAGACACATGTCAAACACTAGAATATTGACATATCTAATTTATAAAAATCAGTGTGTTGTTGGTTCGTACTTAATGCGCTGCCGTACTGTTCATCAGATTGCGATAAAACTTTGTTCACAAATTTAATTTAAAGATGCACTATTCTATCAGATATACATCAAATCCCTATGTTTTCATTTTGAAAATGGTTCGAAGTAAATATTATCATGACCTTAGCGATAATGCTAAGGATCTAATATGTAATAAAATGAAATCTATGAAACCTTTAGATACACATGCTCTTTCATCGGATATGAAAAGTGCCAACGAATTTTGGGCCGTTGCGCTATTCAAGTAGAAGAGACTCCTTTCGTATATTACTTTCTCGCATTTACTATGTTAAGAAGAAGATTAATTTCTCGCACTTACTTCGTAAGAAGAGAAAGTATTGTAATCGTGCGCCGGAAAACGACGAATTTCCGACTCAAAAACTCTTATTGCCGGGCCCCTGACAAGGAAAAAGTGGATAATTCCAGCTACTAAATAGAGAAAAAATCTCAAACACGTGATGTAACCAGAATCCATGTTTTGTTCGTCCTTCATATCGAAAAATAGATTGACGGCAAAACGTCTGTCTGTCCGTCTGTGCACAACGCAAGCACATAAACCGCTCAGCCGATTTTCTCCAAAATTGATATTTCTCAATTCTACGTGATGTCGCTGATCCCATTTAACATACGCGTTTAGTTTTATAACCCATTCGAGGAACTCCTTCGCATTCCTGCATCAGGCACGTATTTTTTCTTCTTTATGTATCTGCACAGTTACATTCGACTCACACTAAACATTTCAGCAGCCATCCTTATAAACTACATCTTCCAGATTCGACTTGCAAGGAGGCTCTTTTGTAATCTTTTGATTTGATGTATTTTTTTGTTTCTTTTTTTTTTTTGTTTTTGTTCTTTCAATCACCATATTTCCTGAAAATAAAATTACACTTCTATCAAACAATATCGGGGTAAGTAATGACACTATCACAACGTGCCCCTTGGAACTTATCACAAGTAGAATGAGTATGAATTTCCTTAAATAGGCACCTGATGATGCACTAGTATGAATTTCCAAGCAAATCAAGCAATGGTTACCGCAGCAACTCAGAGAGTACTCTAAGACAGAGGTTTGAAATGTGCAAGTAAAATAACATGAGCTGCGCTTTGTCGGGACGATCAGTAAACACAGAGACAAGTCACAACTTGTCCCTGTCACGATCAGCCCCGGTCTCTCCGATGACTGAATCTTGTTTTATAATAATGAATTCCTTCCTATTAACTGTGTCATTCTAAACAGTAACAAACAATACGAACTTTCTTAAAGACTTAAAATATTACATATCAATCATTAACTCGAAGATCTGGGGAAAGTTGGTAAAATATGTAAAAAATGTTTTATAGTTACATAGAGTGTGAGGTCTCCTTGCATAGGGTATGAAGAGTATTTTGACCAGGAATTTCTGAGGAATTTAAAGAATTGTAATTACTTACTCTTTTAATCTTTATTCCTCGTATCATCGAAATACTAGCTCCAGCGTAAGCAGAAGCTGGATCCTAAGTATTACTTAGGGTATACATGAAAATCTTGTTCCCCTTTCTCAACTTACGTACCTTCACAACTTTCTCACTAATTTTGGGCTCGCCACTATTATAAGTTCCCGTAACTTTCTCAAATGTTCGAAGTGTCTCCTATGTAGTGCCTCGCTGTAACATTTTACCTTCACCTAGTTGTTATACCTGGGAACGGAAGGTAGCTTTCTTCATAAAGGGTTACATGCAAAAAAATCTGTGATTTGATTTGTAAGTGCACGCCAAACAGCACACACACCAAAACGTATAAAAATTCCCTTCCCTTGCATCCAATCGTTCAGAGTAGTTGTACAACGCGCGTGAGGGGGCCAAAATTTATCCTGGTCTCCGACGTGACACCAACAGTACAGTGCACAGCCATTTGCACTGTCGATGGCAGCTTCCTCGATTCACAAATTGTTTGCATATATGTAGCAGACACTGGTCGTTGAATTTTTAGATTCGGACACGCCGAAACGATGATGACCTGATTCAAGAACTGCCGCGGTACTCAGCTACAGGTCGATGAATCGGTTTACAGCCTGGTTTCAAATACATCACGCAATATTTCGTTATGTGCAATGTTGCAATGTCGAATGGGAAGAAACAACTTTACCATGTGACAGATTTATTTCAAGTCAATCCTCATAATGTTTATCAAGAACTAGTTTCATTTCCTTACACATTTCAAATGTCGTTTTAATGTTCTATAGAGTTATATTTAAAGTGTGGAATAGCTTGGAAGCCTGAACCAACAGAGAATTTTCGGTGTGGTTTTCGTGCACAGTGATCAGAAATCTATATGGGATGGCTACATTGTTTATGCAAAAACTTCATTGTTGAAGTGTAATTCATAAAACTCTGGTCTGCTTTCCTCAAACCCACCCTGCTCCTTGCCACCGGTCTTGCCTGATCCTGATACCACCCGCATTACCTCAAGGTTTGTGCGTGTTGTAGACACACATTTTTTTAAAAATCCTTCATATTATTAATGTGTATATAACATGTACATAAATGCGAACTACACCTGCAGTCATCGGGAACCTACAGCTTGCAAATGACACCTTATTTTCTGCTATTGACTGAGTTGTTTGTTCAGAAAACGATGTTTACATATCATGTTTCAGAAATATAAAATTATATGATAGTAAATCATCACAAACAGAGAAAGTTTACCATATAGTAGCATCACTGGTTAATGTCAAAAAAGATTCACAGATATGTTTCTTCCTGAAGTCGAAATTTCTTACAATTATTATTGATAGTGTTTATCCACTTTGTTCACCTAAAATTAAACTATGAAATTGAGAACAGTTTTGTAATATCTTAAATATTACTAGCTTTCCCCCATGCAAACATTCAGGACTTTGTTTTAGAAATGAAAATTACTTCAGCAGCTTTGAAGGCTCTGAATTGTGCATTATGTTGAGCAAACATTCTCCTATTGCTAAGCATTTATTATTTAACTGAAAGACTAAGTCCGTAAAATTAAATTGCAGAGAATAGGCAATTTAATTATTAATCTTTATGTTTTTTCAAGCAAAGAATTATTATATCACTAATTGTTGCAAAGTATGTCTAAAATTGTGTAGAAAATGTTAACTGTATTTTTTTAAAGAAAAAATGCATTAAAAGAAAAATAAAGAACATTTCTGCTCAGAAGAAGCTTCTTCATCCATGCTAAAATCAGGTTTAAACAATATAAATATTCATAATGTTCAAGAAATACTACATATACACTCTCCATCGTTATTCATAGAAACACGAAATTAAAATAAGTATAAAAATATTTATTTCATATTTTATTTACAGTTCACCATAGAGATAACTTTTAATACATTATTCTCCTAGTTATCAACAAAACTAATCAGTTTTGAAAATACATTTCATCTCCCCTCAACATTCATAAGAACATTTTTACAAGCAACATTTATCAAGTCTGTCCAGTTACCGTGAAATTCATCAGTAGTCTCACAAAATTTGCTATCTACAATTTGAATGATTATTAATTATATTAGAAAGAACTACATTACAAAAAAGAGAGCGCACATCTTATAAAACAAACTAATTCTAATATAATACATGAATTCTTTAATACAAATATTAACAATAAATTTTAAAGAGTTGAATAACGTTTGCTTTTGCACTTTTTTTGCCTTGTATTAAAAACATGTTTTATTTAGATTTCTGAAATAAAAAAAATTATTTCTTAATCTAAATTTCCACCACCACCACAACGAATGAAAACTACAGTGTTCTTGGGCCATTAGTGAGCTTCTTCTTCAAGACCCAACCAATCTCTTGGATTACGTAATACTTCTGTTAGTTTTGCTTCCTTTGATCCTGGTTGAGGAGCATGCATATACTCCCATCTCTGTAAAGTTACAAGATAGTAACAATTAAAAGTAATTTATATTTGACTATAGTATCCACAAAAGCATATATTGAATTCCTTACAGCTGTCAGAGGTAGAGACATTAAAATACTTTCATATCTTGCACCTGGAGTGTACAATCCAAATTTTGTACCACGGTCATAAATCAAATTGAATTCAACATATCTTCCACGGCGTAGGAGTTGCCACTGTCTTTCATGATAACCATAAGCATCCTTTTTATGTTTTTGAACTGAAAAGAATCATTTAAAATATTTCAATTTTATAAGCAACTCATTTTTATAGAAGTTAAGTCAAAGAAGTTTCATAAGAAAATTCATTTTATTAATAAAGTAGTTAAGTACAGATTATAATGGATCTATGGAAAATTTATTAATAAACTTTCATTCACTTAAGTAGATTACCTAATGGCAGATATGATGGGATCACAGCTTCGGCACATGAAGACACAAATCTGAATGCTTGTTCTTGAGTCGGAGTATCTAAATCATCAAAGAAAATTCCTCCCACACCTCGTCTTTCTCCTGCAAAAAATATACAATTTTTTAAAACAAAATAGTGCAACACAAACAAAAATACCAGAGAGAAAAAAATTGAAAGATTCATAGACAAAAATACAAAATATATTACTTTGCAATCTTCCTTGATCAATATACAATTCTTAAATAGAACATTAGAACAGTAATGGAAACCAGAACTGATTACCAATTAATAATAGAAATTAATTTACATATTAATAATCAGTTGCTTGAAATAAATAATTTAAAAGATTTTCAAATTGATAATGGGGCAAGAAATTATGATGTAATATTTTTGCCAAGAATATATTTTTTATTTCCTTCGGAGGGAAAAGTCTTCAACTCATATTAAAATAAGTGGACTTTGTTTAGACAGTTTCACAGTTTACATTAGGCATTACACATTTTTTCAGTCTCAATGGCACATTTTAAAAGCAGCTGTGAATTCAGGAAACAATGCTGATTACTCTTAAATAATAGCTTGAACTTAAAACAAGCCTTTAACCTATAGTTAGCTGAAAGTAACTTCAATTTCGAATGAAAATTATTATTTGTAGAAAATATATCAATTCCAAGGATTTATATTTTTTGTTGTAAATGTAATATTATCAGTCCACATTTAGAATGAAACTAATGCCAAAAATAACAACAAATAAAATACTTTCTTATAACACAGTAATAAATTAAACATTTTAACAAAAACAACCTTCAGGAATACTGCAATAACACACTATATATGCAGTGCAACAGATCCTCATAGCTGTGTTTCAAAAACTGAGAATGACAATTCTATTAGTATACACAGAAAATAATTTGAATAACATAAACAAAAATTTACAATTTGAAGCCAAAATTAAAATAGTTTAATTGTTTTTGTGTCTTTTTTGAGTTATTACGTATCTAATAAAAATCTAAATACTCCTCACATGGCCACAAGCTATGTTAAATTTTCTTTCAATTTCTGCATGTGAATTGAAAATTAGAAATGCAGATATTTTATGACATCTAAAGTGTAATAATACTACAATACTCGCTATCATATTTCAGTAAAAAGCTCTTAGAAGTATTCAAATACGTGGTGTATAACATAACAACTGACAATTAATATAGAAGGGTTGATTCAATGAAGAGGATTAGCAGTACACGGGGAAAGAAATGAACATTACATGAACTCAAAAGAGAATCATGTCATAAGGTTAATCAAGAAAACAATGGTCATGTCCTTTTTATTGTATACATTCTATTTAATCTTAATATTTTGAAAAATATTATGATTTTCAAGGTTTGAAAGTACATGTAATGAAAATAAAAACAAATAAAACATTAACCTAAAAATAATTTAAAAATACATGAAGTTTTCAAGTGAAATTTTATATTCTGACAGAATAACATTTTAAGTGAATTATTCAGATTTTTACCTCTATGCGCAACATGGAAGTAGTCATCACACCACTTTTTAAACTTTGGATAATATCCTTTGTTATGTTTGTCACAGGCTTCTTTTAAAGTTTTATGGAAATGCTTTGAATCTTCTTCATTTAAATAGTATGGTGTGAGATCTGTGCCACCTCCAAACCACCACTGTGTTGTAAAAAAGGAAATCAAACATTGCATTGTTGCTACTTTAATTCTTAATACACACTCTATCATTGAGGAATACCTATTCTTTCACAAGGGATTTATTTACTTTGCACAATAGTCTAAAATGAGAGTATTTTAAATTTTCTGTCTTGAGCAACGAGATGTTTCCTTATTTCTACCATTATTTTATTAATCGATAATGCAAAAGGAAAAAAAAAAAACATAGTGTAATACATTTCTAAAGCATAGATTAAGGTATTGCATTACTAAAGAATAGCATTTTTATTTTGCAGTCTTAACTAACTGTGCTCATGTATGGTAGCTGAGAACATTGGAATTTTTTTTTTTTTGGTTTCCCTCACAAATTTTATATGAAGAAAAGTGGTATCTTTAGTAGTCTTTAGAAACAACTAAAAAAACATCTCCAGTAATTTAGTTAAAATTGGTGTAATTCAGAGCAAAAATATCAACAGTTTCAGCTCTCACAAATTAATAGTTTATAAAATTTTGAATTGAACTTAGTACAGCATATACAGGTTTTCTTAAAATTGAAAATATTATTACATGTTACATTTGTGATATTTAAAAGATTACATTTGTATCATTTAATAATTAAAATAACGTTTTCGAACAAATAATTTTAATTATTTAAAATATAATTTCAGTAATAAGCAATGTTTTACATGCTTTCATGAACGTTCTCTGATTAACATTTATTCATAAAACACTTGCACCTCGTATTTTAAAATAAAAAATTTCAATTCAACATTACTGAAATGGTCTAACTTGGAATAGACTGTCCACTGGCTGTCTCTTTAACTATGCTACTGGGTAGCTTTTCAAATCCTTGCATTTTGAATTTTGCTAATGATAAAAGGGAAAGTACTTTTATTTGCTTCTGTATGAACACAGGTGTTTCTCTAAAAATTAACCTTCAGACTGCAACAAACTTTGAGGCACAGAAAAAATCCAACTTTTAAAAGACTGAGATATATATATATATCTCAATTTGTAGTACACAAAATTACAAAACTAATTGAATTATTGCAATCATTCAAATCTACTAGCAGAATAAATAATATACATTAAATATTAAATAACTTTTAACAGCAAGCAGTAACATCAATTTGCCAGTAGCGATGATTTTGGAAATAAGAGCTATTTACAAGCAGATCTTTATTCAACTTCAAGTACAGGAATTTTTTTTAAACATACTTGGGTATGAACTTTTCATGGTGATCATTTCTGTTTTTTCCCTTCTATTGACATTGTAATCTGGATCAGGAAAGGGGTGCATTCTGCTTCAGGGTAAAAAAGAAGTTAATGTTGGCTAACACAAGCAATCATCGTGTTTTATGTTATTTTAAATAGTTTATTTAATGATACTAGAAAACTTAATGTAAATTTTGACACAAGAAAAAAAAATATTGGAGCTACAACAGCACACTGTATATTGGTAATTATGATATATTATTATTATCTTGACACTTCTATCCTTCTAACAAGTCAGCCATTACTTGAGAAACTCCTAACCAAATAAAGGATGAGAGGTTTCAAAAAAATAAATTTCTTTTCCTTTTTATTTAATTAAAATACTGAAAGTGGTTTTATGCCTCTGAATGCAGCATTTCATGGTCTAGTTGATTTGATTTGTTTTTGTCAAAGAACAGTCAAATCTACACGAGATGTATGGGGAAGAAGTATCATCTATGCATTTTCATGAGCATCAAAGTCTCTTTGCTGCCCTTTTACTATCCATAATTGAAACATGAATAACAGTACCGACAAAGGGAGGTTAGAATATTTGAATTTTATAAATTCCAAAGGTTTTTGAGCATAAAATTTGAAGCCTTAATGAGGAAAAAATGATTATTATAGCTTCAATTATGCCAAAACCACTCACATATTGAAATCAAACATACATGATATTATTTAAATTTACAATTTTGAAAAAAACATTTCATTAGGAAAAATGTGCCTTTAATAATGTAGGAGCTTGTTGAAAAAGTGTTTATCTTTTGAAATTTTTAAATATATAGAAGTTTGATTGAACATTGGCCTGTTCCATTTTTATAAGGCTGATATGATCTATTTAAGGGGGGGAGAAAAAAATTTGGAGCTGTTTTTGAGAAAAATGAAAACATTTACAGGTTTCTTGTAAAGTACACCTCAAAATTAAAAGAAGTTTCAAATTTGAGAGGCTGTGACATCAGTCAGATCAATGGGGGGATTCTCCATTTAGGTGAAAATTCTTTGAATGGTTTAGGTGCAAGTGATGTTTGCAAACAGATTTGAGAAAAACACTTTTCAGCATTAAAGACTCCCAAAAATTTGATTACACCATACTGTACTGCTGATTACTCTACATACATAACTAAAGAATTCACAATGTGGAGGAGCAAGAAAATCAATTTTTTCAGCATCAGGGATGCTCAAACCATGTTTTTCCACCAAAAAATCAACAATTGTTCTTGCAGCAATACGTAACTTTCTCTTACTATGAAGTAGACAGAAAAAAATATGGTTGTTGGTTTTGGTATTATTATTGAAAAGGGAAAATGAAATACATTTGATGACAATACATTTTACAAATAATAGAAATAATTAATGTCTTACATTAGAAGTTTGAAGTTTTAAAAAACTGTAATAAATGAGTTTCAGCACAAGTGATGATCATGAATATTTGTAGTTATGCTTTAAAAGTAATAAATGAACTTCTCTACATAAAGCTAAACACAAAAGGCTTAACAAATTACCAACAGAAATTTACTGAATATTTCTGTTTATTCTTTACATAAGAGTTAGAAAAATCTCTTTCACGAAATGTGTTTTTTACCAATAACTGGCTTCTTTATGTTGGAACAATTGGAACTCAGCATTTTATATTTCATCAAGTAAGAAAATCCTAAAAACTTAACACTGCAATATTCTCTATTAAACAAGTTGAAATTGATTTTTCAACTATGTAGCACAAACCTTAGTGCATCCCAGAAATTCATTTTTGTCAAAATAAAATTATCTACACTGAGAACATTCCACTTCAGATAATCTTTCAGTTTACACTTTACAGTTAGAAAATATTGCTATGACACTCAAACACTGTCAAACCTATTTACAAAATTTCCAATTTGAAATAAATTATGAATTAATATAGCATGACTTGCATATTTTCCACATACCTGAATTGAGCCATCGTCTTCCTGAATTTCAAAATATCGATAATTGAAGTGAATAGTTGGAACCATTGGATTACGAGGGTGAATCACTGAACTAACGCCTGCAGCAAAGAATGGCAATTCTCCTTCCTGTAATTTCTTCCCTCTATGTACAAGGAAAACAACACATTTTGCACAAGGAATGACAACACATTTACATTGTTTTTTGTTTTTATCATTTACATCTCCCTCCAATAATTTACTTTACTTTTGCGTGGAAACTCAAACCATTTAATATATCACATATTTAATGATACATGCAATATAATGTTCCTTATAAATTATTTTTGTATCCTTCACAGCAATCAGTTATCAATACCTTGAACGCATCTGGGCAACAGCTTGGGGTGACAGTGTACCAGATACCACAGATATATTAACACCTGCTTTTTCAAATACTTCACCATCTTGCAAAACACATGTGATTCCTCCTCCTCCTTCTTTACGAGTCCAACGATCTACTTTGAAGACTGCACCTCCTTCTTCTTCGGCTTCAAGCGCTCTACAGAAATCAGCCTTGAAAATACAAACCAATTGTAGTTGCAGAATATTAAATAGAAACGCATTTCTATTTGCAGATTAATATTACCTGCACTTTCATTATAAACAATTCCATTCGTGCTTTCATGTCATTTCGATTACTGTTGAGTGTTTTTTGATCAGTTATTGGATCTGCCATAAATTTATTTGATGCAGCCTTTGTGTACGCCACACCATAGGTTTTGTACGAGACATACGCGGCAGTTCCACCCCCGACAGTTATTATTAGAAACTGCCTACAAATGAAACACACATTAAATCTTGATTCCAAAATGCTTTATCTGCATTTGTACATCGCGGTAGATGTATGTTTTATTTCACCGAAAAATGCTCATTGATACACTAACCTCAATCGAGTTGTAGAGTTTGTCGTAGGATTGAATACAGAAAATCTTCGACTGATTCCACATGAATTGGAAAAAAGCTTCAATAATTTATTGTTAAACATTATTACTGCAAAAAGCTATCTTTAATACTTATGTTTTATTTCAATATAATGCCGGCACCACTTTTCTCAGTCCGTCCTCGTGAAACAGCTGATGTGTACACAGGTGGTTGGTTTGTATTGATCTCGTCCACGAGTCCGCATTGCCGTGAACGGAATAGCGATTAGAAGAACTAAAGTAATATTAAAATCGTAAAGTTAACATTTTTTATGGTTTTTTAAATAAGAGTAAATTTACTTCTAAAGAAGTATAAATATTTCACCATTGAAGAAACGTGTCATTTGACAGCTGAAGCGAGGGGGTGTGCACATTTTGCCAACTCCCTGCGATTACCCAGAACCTCCTGCTGCAGACGTATTCACTACTGGCAGGTGTGTGGGTGTGTGCGTGCGTGTGTGTAGGTTCTGTATTGTGGTATGTGGTGACTGGGTCTCGCGGGCTATGAAGCTGCGATAATTAAATGGAGATCTGTGATTTTGTGTTTACGAAATGAAGAAGTTCACCTTCAAGGGTGTGTTGGATGGATTTCGGTCTTCGGTCGCGCAACCGGCCAGAGTTGATCAAGAGATAGTCGAAACTCTGCGGCCGGATAACTTCCAAGTTGCAAAGGTATGGTAGAAAATGGCGCCATGTTTTGCTAATGCGGTAGTTTGTACGCATATTGTAAGATGAGCGAATTCACACTGTAAATGAAAGAGTTCGTGTAACCGGTTGTCACTTTATGTTAGGAGTACTTGTGCTCAGCCTGAGTGCGGTACGCATCCTGTCACCCGCTCTTGCAGCGTCACCGCTACGGTTAGTGAACCAGTCTTCGTAACTGGTTCCAGCTGGGCAGTATTGTTAAAATGTCATTGTATTGGAAGTCTCTGTTAGTAATTCTGAAATTTCTTTCTTGGCGAATATACAGCGTGTTGTAATGCTTCTATATTGATTCATAATGACAGATGTAACATTTAGCATTCGTTTCATTTTGAAATATTTTCAATTTGACGTTATTGAACAGATGTCGGAACTACTCTTGACATAAAAATTGTCGCTACAATGTATTAATTTCGAATAATCCGTCAACACTTGACATGTCTTCTGATGCATTTTGTTTTTCCGTTCTTCGGACACTACGTCCGTTCATTTGTTGAACATTGTTGTGCAGTGACAAGCCTATTAAAACTATCAACCCAAAGCATGCGGTTTGCTATTAGATGGCACAATTTTAGCGTATTGTTTCATTTGTTGATTGTCAACTGTTCAATACCTTTGTGCATTTTGATTACTTCTATTTATTGACGTGTGTTGAGGGATCATTGTTGTGGTGTACATTCTGAAAAGAGACAACTGCATGCGAATATCACAGCGTGCTGCGGGCCTGTGCGGACGGCAAGCCGATGCCGCACTCGGCTGACGGGTCGCTAGCCCCGCAATGCGTGCGCACACGCTTTTCGGGTGTCGGCGCCCGCAGTGTGCAAGTCACGGCAGTTTGTTCTCGACTTAGCCCTTCACGTTGTCTGAAAGCAGGAAGGGCGAGCGGAAAGGAAGGCACTCTCGTACCTCTTTCTTACACTGCAAGGGGGATGACACGAGCCCTCCGTGCGCGCCTTTTATTGACCCGCAATATGAAGCAACGCCTTGATTTCGACATTTTCGCTTAGTCTGCGAGTCGATAGCGCCGCGTGTCGCAAGCGTAGCAGCGTCGTGGCGCGGGCGGCGCCGCCGCCGCAGGGTCCCGCAGCCGCCGCAGGGTGCCCGGGACGTCGTGCCTGAGCCCTCGACCATCCCCGCTCCGTCCCCGCCATCGACGCCACGCCGCAGCAGCGGCGACGGCACCGACACCGGCAGCTCAGAGATGATGACACGACCCACGTCGACCCTTTTCTTCCCTTTCTGGCCTTTTGATGGATAATTTACGTCATCCCTTCTCCTTTTAATACGTCTCTTTCTTGTTAGTTTGCTTTACACCGCTCGTTTCCCTTGCATACTTTCGCATGTCATTTTCGTCTGCAATTGAAAATCGATTTCCGAAACATAATCGAGTTGTCAAAATTATGGTCTTCCAAATACAATTTCGTTTAAAAATCAAATAGTCTTCTGTCACTGGTTTAAAGTGTATGAAATTGCTACTGCACGAGCGCTTAAGTACAAACTCAAAATTATTGTCGCGCCCCATGAAAATTTTGTTCTGTAAATCTTTTTGAAAAGGATCTAAGAAATGTTCGTTTTGTCCTCGCACCATCTTTCGAGTCCATGGCAATGGTGCAACCAATTATTCTTAAAGTCTACTGATTGCACTCGTCTTCTGCGCCAAGATTTGCGCCACCAACGACAAACCACAACACTTCGTTCTCAAATCGACATAACCGCAATCTAAAATTTTCAAATGACGAAAATATTTGAATCCTTTCGGTAAGGATAAGGTTGAGAAATTATATACATAATATAATGTTAGATCATTGTGCAATGTTGTTTTTCTTTAATCTCAGGGATACAAATTTCTGAAATATTCGTAAAGTTATAAAAGCTTAAAAGGTATCCAATGTATATGTTCGTTTTAAAATGATAGTACTAAAGTATATTTAGCTATTGGTGCCGTTTTTTTGGTTGTCGTCTTGGAAAAAATAAATCTGAGGCCCTTAAACAGACGGGAAAGTTTCTATAGCTAAGGTTGAAACTACCGTCTTAAGGAAACAGGATATGGTTCATGATTTGCTTTGCTTATCCTCGGTGAACTTCAGTAAACGACAGTACTTACTTAGTATAGAACCGTTAGGGTTTTTCTCTATCCAATCCCCAAAACTTGACGGGCGGAGGTCAGCGTTCACAAATTTTATCTCTAAAAAGTCTTAATCGAATTTCATATTTTGAAAAATATTTCATCAGATATTAATTTTTATGATTTTTGTGATTCACATTCAGTTAATTCAACCATAACGTTATGGGTGGGTGTTACTGTTAAGTCTCTTTCCCACGGGTAAATGTCGTCGGGGAATTAGTAAAAAAAAAAATTGAACAGTGTCTCCGAATTATTTACAGCACTGTTACGTTGAGGGTGTAAAAATACGTTTTTATCAGTCTATGTATAATAGTGGGTAATATCTTTTCTAGATAGTGATCAGTGTCGTTTCTTTCTTGATCTTTCCAGAATGCTTCACATTTACATACGAGTTTATTTAATTTGCATCTTCATTATGCGAAGAATCAATTTCTAAGATATTTTCCCTTTAATTTTTTCAAAATCGCAACAAAATCGCGGAAATTTAAGAATCTTGATTTTCGATTAAAACTTTCTTCACTTTATCGTGTATCAGCCCCTTAGGCTTAGTTTGCATTGAATAATATAAAAATATTGGTGCTCATATAAATAATTTGTAGACGGCGTGTAAAATCATAAAATTAAAAACAACTCTGCTGGTGACATGTCGTTCTCAATCTTAATAAGGACGCCTTAGTACACTGTTACATGATTGGAAGACAATTGCATTCCAAATGTAGAATTCTTTGGCTGTTTTCGAAAAGGTAGTTCTGCGAGACCAAGAGGACGGAGCGAAGGAGAGTTATTTTATGAAGTAAAGAATGAAACATTATTAACATCAGTAAATATAGAAGCTGCAGTAAAATAAACTCGAGTAAAGGATCAGATCAATTACAATAATTGTATTATTTTTCTTCGGATTCTCGGATGTTTGTAAATCCCTTTGAACATGCAAAGTACATTGATCTCATCGATATGGCATGTTAAAACTTTTTAAATTAACATTAAGACCAATCTTTGACAATTGTGATCATGAATTAAAATTGTTTCACAATAACTGACAAATTTTCATATCATCTCAGCTGGTCTAATTCTATCCAGGTGCGAATACAGTGAAACATATCTTGGGGGACAGCTAATGATTTCAGCAAAAATTGGCCCAAAAAATGGTGGGTAATCAATGTAATGGGGTTATGGGAATGTTAGATCAGGTCTGAACGTGCTAATTGTAAAATAAAGTATGTTTTCGGTAATATGGTTTTAATTATCGTAACCTTCAAAATACAACTTAAATAACAAACTGCACTTGAATGATAGAACACAGGCAAATCTGTTCTCTCATGGATTTGACTATCTTTTTACTAAAACCTACCGTGCAGAATTGCTTGTTTAGAAGAGTTTACATCTCTTTTAGTTGCATAGCTTTCAAAACTTCCCAGAATATGACCTTTTTCGTATAATTTTATTCAATTTGCATCCAAGCTCACGTAAAAATGTCAGCACGTTTTCTAGCGGAAAATTTTATCTTTTTTGGATAACATGTCTGTCCTTGGATAATATTAAACATCTTTGACCTCCCGAAGTGCACTTTCCGTTCCTACAGAACCGAGCTCGCAAACAAATAAGATTTAAAAATGCAATTCACCTTGTGTGAGCAAGGCTTCGCCACGAAGTACTGGGCGAATGACCAGCGCACCGCGCACGCAGCATACTCCCTCGGCCGTTCACACGTTCCCACAAAGTAGAAGGGAAGATGGTGAAAGCGATCTTCACGAGAAAGCTCCGGTATAATCGAAGCAAATGGGTTGTTCTTAAAGAGATTTATTAAAATCACACGTTTTTACCTAAACCAGAAATTAAACCGTCGTCAGAATACATGGCTCTAAGTAATCTGAAAATGCATTCTGTTGCAAGAAGGTATTTAATCAACCTGTCTGACCGCTGTTGGCCTGGCACTTTTGGTGCGGGACAAGGAGACCGCTCAACAGAGGGACAGGCGTCTTGCGGAAAAACAAATCGATTCCTCGAAAAAATGGCCGTAAATGAGGTGACCGTTTAACCGAGGTGGCCGTTAGAGTGAGTTTGACTGTACCCGAAAATCCTTGGTAGGATCTGCCGGTTTCTCTATTGACACTCTTGTAACTCCTTCAATATTCGAAGTATTTGCTTTAGGTGGTACGAATACTCACCAAAACCGGTAACTTCTGTTTGGATTTGGCCATACAATATTGGCCACAGACGAAGTATATTGTATGATCAAATCCATACGAATCGTGCAATAACAAGCAAACCAGATAATGTTATTAGGTATTTGGAGAAAAATAGTTTCTTTTCGAAATGATGTGCCATGCAATTTGAACTTTGTCACTAAGGAGGCAGTGACCGTCTAAAATACAAACGTTTGGAAATTGATATAGAGTGTAAAACTATGTGTGCCGATCATTATCGAAGCTATGGAATTTGTTCCACAAAATTTACGTATGTGACCAAACTTCCACGTCATTCAGAGGACTGGCTAGCGCAAGACAGCCCGTATTTTGCGCTAAGTATTGTAGAGGCACTCAGTCACTGGGTCTGCTCTCCATGAAATTTGTTACATCCTTCTTCTTCATGCCATTTTCTTGGTCGCTACTTCGGTGATCCGGCGCCTTATCTTCTTCTCCAGTCTTCCCTGTTCTTCCAGGAATTAGGAGGTAATTTCCACTTCTCGATTATCTTTCTGATGTGGTCGTTCCATTCTGGACTTCGTGTGCCACTTTTTCTTCTTTCACTTGGTTGCCATTCTAAGGATCTTCTGGGGAGTCTTCTCTCGTCCATTCGCTGTACAATTGTTACATCCTGAAGTAGATTTTATACTTCATAGCTA